AAAAACAAAACGCTCAAACAAGGCGTACTAAGCATCCAACCCTCTTCAAATTTCAGACATTCAAATATTTTTACTAACACAAGTTCTGTTGTGAAGATGATATATATCTGCAAACCCATTCTGCTAGAATTGTTCTTGCTCCATTGTTTTCCTCTGACCCACTTAATGGCGGGATATTACCACAAAGAAAAATACCTTTAAATCAGTCTCAAAAATAAAAATTCTTGGGTTAGCACGTCTTTGAAAATCTCCCCCTACTCCCTCAAAATTTTCTTTTCAACAAAAAATTTGCCACATAAATCACCCCCCAATCCCCTCCTCTATCCAACATAAAAATTTTCCTTTCCAACAGAAAAAATCAACGTTTATATTTTTCTAAAGACAATCTTAGCGATTTTTAAAAATCCCCACAACAAAAATACATTCCTGTCTTCTTTAACTTAACAAAAAAAAAGAAATTAACATTAGTTAATTGATTTAATTATAAATTATTTAAAATAATTTTTGAAAAAAAAAATCTAATCTGTTCTACATTTAAAAAAATATCTTGCCATTTATAAAAAAAATGAGAAAAAAAAATCTTAAAAACAAATATTTGTAGCAAAGGAAAATGAAAGCTTTTTTTAAATAATTTATTTTTATTTAATTTTAATTAATTTTTTTTATTCAAGTAAATTTAATTTTTTATTGTTGTGTTCCACAAATTAATATTCTTTGTTATGTTTAATGGCTGGGTTAAATTTTAAATGAGAGAAAAAAAATAGAAAACAAATATTTTTTTATATATACAAATAAAAAGAAACCTATACCATATACAAGAGAAACACGTTTCAATATACCTCAATATATATATACGAAAATGTATATGAAAAATTAATAATAATACAAAAATATATATAATATATAAAATACATGAATTATATATAATATGAATTATATATAAATTTATTTATATATATTTTTTTAAATAAAAATCCCAATTTAGTTTTAATATCTATAACTATATAAATTTAAAATTTATATATATAAAACCCCATGTTACAAAGAAAATGTTTACTACAGTTTTGTTTGCAAACAATTTAGCTCAAATATATCAATGTTTTTAATTTAAATATTATTTTTTTATTAAGAATTTTTTTTTAACATTTTTTAATGCCATTTCTATGCCACTTTTAATAGAAAAAGAAAGAAAAATTCCTTTAAAACTTATAAAGTTAAATTTTATAAAATTACAAAAGAAAGGAAATGTAAAAATGTGTAGTATTAAGAAAATTGATTTCATGAAATGTATTTTATAATTGTAAATCTATAATTAAATATTAATATAATATTAAGGGTCTGTTTCCCTATGACGAAACGAATTTGAATGCGAAAGAAACATATCATTTCAAATATGATTTTCAATCGAAAACTTGAAAAACTCATTTGAAATGGTGTATTTCTTTAGCATTCACATTCGTATCGTCATAGAAGAACAGGTCCTAAATATTCTCTAAAGTAACCCAATAAGAAATCCTTAACGTCTTTTTAATTCTAAAATATTTTTTTGTCGATTCTTAGTCAATTTATATTCTAAATTCAAGTTTTGAACAGAATTTCCCTAACCATTAAATATATAAAATTCCACGTCTCGAAGGCTGTTCAAAAATTATTCTTTAAAAATCCACTTCTCGAGGGCTGTTCAAAAAATATTAGTTAAAAAATCTACACCTCGAAGGGTCTTCAAATAATGTTCTTTAAAAAAATCACGTTTCGAAGGCCCTTCAAATATTCTATATTCTTTAAAAAATCCACGCCTAGAAGGCTCTTAAAAAAATCCAAGGCTCGAAGGTTCTTCAAATAATATTCTTTAAAAAGTCCACGCCTCGAAGGCTCTTCAAAAAATATTCATTGAAAAATCCACGCCTCGAAGCCTCTTTAAAAAATCCACGTTTCGAAGGCTCTTCAAAAAATATTCTTAATAAAATCCGAGGCTCGAAGGCTTTTAAAAATAATCTTTAAAAATCCACGCCTTGAAAGCCTTCAAAAAATATTCTTTAAAAAATCCACGTCTCGAAAGCTCTACAAAAAATAATTTTTAAAAAATCCGAGTCTCGAAGGCTCTTCAAATAATATCCTTTAAAAAATGCACGTTCTGAAAGCTCTTCAAAAAATATTCTTTAAAAAATCCGAGGCTCGAAGGCTCTTTAAAAAATCCACGCCTTGAAGGCACTTCAAAAAATATTCTTTAAAAATCCACTCCTCGAAGGCTCTTCAACAAATATTCTTGAAAAATCCATACCTCAAAGGCTCTTCAAAAAATATTCTTTAAAAAATCCACGTTTCGAAGCCCCTTCAAAAATATTCTATAAAACACCTTATCTCCAAGGCTCTTCAAAAAATATACTTCTGCATTAGGCATTGAAATTGCGGCAAACTGCCAGTTTGTATCTATGAAATGTTGGTGAAATCTCCATTTTTCTTACCTCTTTCAGCCCCCATATAACGGCACCCCCGATATTCGGTATTTTGATGATTGTAGCCACATTTTTCAATGGAATTGTCTTAAAATCCACACAAGGAGTTCCTTGTGAGTACTTTATCCCCTGGAAGATTATAATCTATATAGTATTGCGCCTGTATAAGGGTACCCCCAGATATTCGGTATTTTCACGATATTTGCTACATTATTCACCGGAATTATTTCAAATTTCGTATATAAAGTTCGGAGCCCTTACTACAGCCTATGACTCAAATTTCTTATACAGGACCACGTCTTCGTATAGCCTCCATGTAGCGGGTTTCATTCGAGCAGTATTTTTCGATAGATTTTTTGGACAATTTTTCAAGTCTCTTCCAAATTGTGGAGGGTATAAAAAAAAATCGGCCCGGCTGCTTTTTTACTTGTTTTTTTTTTAAACATCCACAGCTGTGAACCTAAGAATTCTTCAAAAATATATGTTTTAATTCCACGAATACAGCATTTAAAATCATTTACAAAAAATAAGGACTGTAGGCCTTCAAAAATATATTTAAAAAACTAATACTGCAGCATTGAAATTCTTTAAAAAAATATTATAAATTTTTTATTTAAAAATATATCTGGGAATATATTTCAAAATCCTTGTTTCCCTCCGAAAATATTCTTAAAACCCGCAACTAAGCTCTGAACCTATCCACGATAGGATCGGCTTTCATAAATACTCTTACAAATGTCATTTGAATGCACTTTGGGAGTCCCTAAGAAAATTGTCTTTTAAAGTCCTCGCTCTTTTTAAAGGCGAATTTAAAAAATCCTCGATAGGATAGGTCTTCAAAAATTAAAAGTCTAATTTAAAAATTCGCTATTTTAGCTTTCTTTTTTTATTTTCTTTTTAATGCTTCTGTCGTTTAATAAAAGTATTCAAAAATTCGAAAAGCCTTTTGAAAATTATCTTTTAAAGTTCTAATTATTTTTAAAAATATATCAAAAAATGGTCAATTATGGCTCTGGTGGATCTACAAAACAATTCTTAATTAATGTCATTAAAAAATCCACGAGCTGTGATTCTGCAAAGGAACGTATTTAAAAAAAATCAAAGATTACATTGGGAATTTTTAAAAATATAATAAAAAGGATATAACTCATAAGAAATTTTCATCAATTTTTCAATTTTTTTTTTGGGAAACCCTATTGCTCTGTCCTCTACATTTTGTCAGTCAAATATATCAATTTTCAAGATGAACCTTCTGAAAATTTTCTCAAATTGTAAAGTCGTATTTTCTAACAGGTAATTGGGAAATATCCCATCCATCATTTTTATGGATGGGATATTTTCTTGTTTCAGAATTAAATTTTAAAGAATATTGCAAATTTATCAAATCATCCACATTCATTTCAATTTAGTTTTGAACAACATTACAAAAAGAAATGGAGGAAAAAGTCAAAATAATCTCTTTTTTTCAATTTTTTGTGGATTTTGAAATTTGAAATTTTCTTTCTAGTCTAGTATTTCCATAGTACCTACATATTCGCCTCACAGAGCTAATCGGAATTCTAAATGGTTTGTGAGGTATGAGCCTGGTCTAATAACTATTTTTTTATACAAGCAATGACTCTGAGGACAGGGGAAACTAATGTCCGTACCACCATCAAAATTATCACTTTCCTCACATAATTAGATGTGAAAACATTATTTTTATTTTTTATTCATTTTTCTCAAATTTTGTGTTTTTAATATTTTGATAAATTTTTTTAATATTTTGATTAATTTTTTGTTTTATAATTTTCAATTTTCAATTAACTCTCCTGCAGGATTTTACATCTCTATTTAACTTATAATTTATTTAAATCGAAAAAAAAATTCAATTCGAATAAATGATCCTAACATTCTATGCTCAGAAATGTGGATGGGAACTTTTTTTAATTATTTTAAAATTTCAAATAACTTTCATGCCTTGATTTAGCTTCAACACAAAATTTTAGATTTATTTTATCTCAGACATTTTTTCTCATTTTCACATTTTCTTCTCGAAATTTGCCAATTTCATCTGGAATTTGGATGGCTTCGATTTAAATGCCAATAATGATTTTTTTTTTTTTAAATTATGTATTACACATTTTTACATTTTCCCCAGACAGCATAACTTGCCCAATTAATTATAAATGTATCCTCTGGTTTATGACTTTCCTATAATATAACTATAAATTATTAAAAAAAAGAAACAAAACTTAGCTTAATTATACATTTTAAATCAATATCTATTCTAAATGAAATCTATTATTTTCTACAAATTTATCTTTCTGTTTTGTAAATGTATGTGTATATTTTTAATAAATATATATATATGACTTTTTCTAAATAAAGCATAAAAAGAGAAGAAGTAAAGAAAATAATTGAAAGGAAAAAATTAACCGAAAAAAGAAAATTTAAATACTTTATTGTAATTCCCAACAAAAAAAAAAAAGGATGGTGGGTCCGAAAAAAAATTAAAAAAGATCCTGGGATATTGACACAAAAAAAATTTTAAAATCCTTGGATTTAGACACAGAAAATTTCATCAACGAAGCACTTGAAAATAATGGGTAAAATTGGGAGTGTCTGGGAAAAAAAAACTATTTTTCTCCAATCTCCCTTTTAAAAATACCCACATTTTTTCTTTCCAGAAATTTTCTGTGTCTGAAAGTCTGGAAAAAATCGAAATTCTATCAAGCTTGTTTTGATATTTTTTTTTCATAAAAAAATGCCTTTTTTGGGAATTTTCGAAAGTTCCTAAAAACGGTCCTTCGTAGTAGGAAATTTGAAATTTGGGAATGCTTTTATTTCACGTAGAATTTGCAATTATGGCTTTGAAATATTACCAACACTTCTGACAGCCTCTGAGACATGAAAACCCAACACAGCACACTTTTTAACAACCACAAAGTAAGCTAAACAAAAAATAATTAATTAAAAAAAATATTAAAGTATTGAAAAAAAATTTCCCATTTTTTCCTCAACAACCACTAATTGCCTTCTATTTCTTTGTCTCTTTTAGCCTCCTCCTCCACGGAAAGCTATTGGACCATAGTTGAAACGGTGCCCTATTCCTTGGCAAGCAGTCAAACAAATACCGGCACCACAACCTGTACAAATGTCATTAGCAGTCATCAGCATGGTGGGGTTCATCAGCAGCAACAGCAGCAGCAACAGCAGCAGCAACAACAACATCATCACCACCACAATACCGCAATATTACATGCCCCCCATCCACATGTCCAACATCAAAGTGTGCAGTCGACACAGCAAACTCACAATTCCGCCCATCATGCAGTGGTCTCGGCTGCCCCTCAACACATTAGTCACACCTCCACATCAAATGCAGATCCGGCAGATATCATAGCCTCGGCTACAGTGGTGGTGGAAATACCCTCCGAGACCGAGGGTATGCCGGCCAGTACCATACACTATACCCTGCCTAAGGGTACCACAACGCAACATCAAGAAATTCTGCGTAGCGTCCAGACATCAACGGCCCTAACGGCGGCCTATAACAAATTGGCAAATCCTCCTGCGGCCACCATACAAATTGTTAAGCAAGCCCCACCAGGTCATGGCTTACAGCCGGGCACGGCAGGAACCACAAGGGCCATAATACAACATGAGGCGCCTCAAACGCATTCCCACTCCCATGTACAGCAACATCATCATCAGCATCAAGTGCAGCACATAACCCTACAAGAATGTCTAGAGGCTACGGCCACAACTGCAGCCCTACAGCAGCAGCACCAACAACATGCAACGCAGCATTTGCAGGTGACAACAAGTAATAACAACAACAACCAGGCCAACAATGCTGCCACCACAACACAATTACCCCAAACGGAGTTCATAAAAATTGATACCTCCCGATTTGAGGATAAGGTGCTGCTACGCAATGTGGTACAATACGAACAGCAGCAGCAACAACAGCAAATTGCCAGCAACAATCATGGAACACCCACCACGACCACCACAATTATTGTCAATGAAGCCACGGGGGCCACACATTTGGAAGTTATAAACAAAGAGCAGCATCATCCTCATCATCATCACCTTCAGCAACAACATCACAACCAAATGGCGGGCATTAATGAATCCCTTACCACCACCTCGGCCTCGGTGACATCCGAAACCGATGACATGGATACAGAATTGACCGAAATGAAACCCTTCAATGCAATGCAAAATCCTCCATCCACAACCACCACCACCACCACAACGTCGGGCCATGAGACATCGGAAAATGAAAGTGACAAATTTTTGGCTCCACCCAAACGTATCAAGACCCTGGGCCTAAAACCATCCGACATAGCTGCCGCTGGCCTGCAATATGTCTGCAATGTCTGTGGAAAATCCTATAAAATCAAGGGCTCCCTGAAACGTCACAAAAGCTATGAATGCGGTGTGGCACCGCAACTCTCCTGTCCCTATTGTCCGCACAAATGTAAATACAAATCGGATCTGCGTAAGCATATCTCGCAGAAACATGCTGTCAGCGTGCAGCAGAGCAGTGCCATCTATAAATAGAGAGCGTTTTAAGGATTTATTTTTTTAAGATTATTTTTTAGAATTCAGTATTTAAATTTATTTTTGGTACGCAATGAGAATTGTAATTGTAGAAGGTATTAGGATCCTTATCTTGGCTATGGAATTCCTAGAGTTGAGAAGGTATTGATATCTTCAATTGTTTGTAGAATATCTTTTGATATTCTATTGGCGGTGAAACACCTTTTGGTTTGATATTAGAACACCTATAGCTCATCTGTAGTCAATAGAAGGCTTAATGGTCGGCCATAAAACCAGTAGAGCAACAAGAGTGCTTCAATTCTACTACTGGCTTTATGGAAAACCTCTTAAGTCTTCTATTGGCTATATGAGACCTCTATGAGTTCTTTTGGCTATGAATGTCATATAAGTTTTCTAATGACTTTAGAAGACATAAATGTTTTTAAATGGCTTTAGAAGACCTGAAACGATCTGACGATCTCTCGTTCTCCCTAGGCATCTAGAATACCTCTAGGTCTCCTAAGGCATATATTATACCTCTAGGCCTTTTAATTATCTTAGAACACCTCTAGATTTAATATTCACCCCTATTATGAAAATAATTTCCCAAAATTTTTGTTTCTATTTCCCATTGGGTATAAAAACCCCATCGGTTTTCTAAGGCCTAAAAAGACCAGAACATTATCTATGGGCTATAGAAAACCACTAAGTCTTGGCTGTAGAAGACCCCTTTTTAAAGATATTGAATATCTTCCATCAACTGACTTCTAAGTTTTATAAAGCTATAGAAAATCCTCAGGTCATCTAACAACTAAAGGAGATCTCTATCTCTATCTTCCATCAACTGGCTTTTAAGTCTTATAAAGGCTATAGAAAATCCTCCCTATTGACCATAGAAGGCATCCACATCTTCGATTTGCTATAAAATGTCTTCTGTATGCTATAGAAGAGCTCCATGTCTTCTAACATCTGTCCACGTCTTCTTCTATTAGCTACCGAAGACCTCTAGGCCTTCGAACGGTTAAAGGAGAAATCTAGGTCTTTTAAAGGATATAGAAGATACTCACTCAAGTCATTCAGGAGAACTATTAGTCTTTTAGATGGCTCCTTTGTTCTTTAACATCTGTAGAAGCCCTTTATGTTTTTAATTTGCCAGAGAAGGCTTCAAAGTCTTCTAAGGGCTAAAAAACGTCTTTGAGTCCGCTTGCTACTATAGAAGACATGTAGACCTTGAATTTGCCCTAAAAGACTTATTGCTATTCTGTTAGTTATAGCATTCTGTTAGTTATAGAAGGCCTCTGGTTTCTTTGAGTTATATAGAATATCTTTAGCTCTTCTAACGGCTACATAAGACGTTTAGGCCTTCCCATAACATTAGAAAATCAATTCATCTTCTACATGCCAAAAGGATCTATAGGTTTTACATGGACTGTGGAAGACCTATAGCCCTTGAATTTGCTTTAAAAGACTTCTTGTTCTTCTATTTTAAACAGTTGTCCTCCAACTGAGCTATTATCTATAAAAGGCTTCTAGATCTCCGTAAGGGTTCAGATAACCTCTATATCTTCTATTTGCCATAAAGGTCCTATAGTTATTCCATGGGCTATAGAAGACCTCTATGTCTTATAGAAAACCTTAGAGCTTTCTGTTAGTTATGGATGACCTCTAGTTTCTCTAAGGGCTACAGATTACCTTTACCTCTTCTAAAGGCTACAGATGACGTTAAGGCATTTTCAAAACATTAGAAATATACTCTCCTTTTAACGCCTAGAAAATACCTGCAAGTCCACTTGCTGCCATAGAAGACCTCTATTGCTTTAATTTGCTTTAAAAGACTTCTTGCTCTTCTATTTCCTCCTCTAGCTCATCTGTTATCTAGAAAAGGCCTCCAGGTCTCCATAAGACTTCAGCAAACCTCTATATCTTCTATTTGCTATAGAGGTAGGTCCTATAGATATTCCTATGGGCTATAGAAGGCCTTCAGTTTATTTAAGGACTATAGATTACCTTTAGCGTTTCTAACGGCTACAGATGATGTTTTGGTCTTCTCATAACTTTAGAAAATCAGTGCAATCAAGCCATTGCGGACCAATAGATTTTACATGGACTATAGAAGTCCTACTGGTTTTCTATAAGCCATAAAAGGTCTCAATAGAATACCTCTTCTCCAGATCTTTTGTAGATATTGAAAAGGTCTTCTAGGAGAGATAGATGTCTGCTAATATCATTAAAAGTGCGGCTATCAGTCTAACGACTATAGAAGACGTTTAGGCCTTCTCATAATTTTAGAAAATCAGTCCGTCTTCTATAAGCTATAGAGGATCTATAGATTTTACATGGACTATTGAAGACTTCTTGACCTTTTATTACCTATAGAAGGTCTCAATATAAAAGATCTCTTCTAGCCCTCAGATCTCTTGGAGATATTAAAAAGGTCTTCGAGGAGAGATAGATGTCTGCTAATTTCATTTAAAGATCAAGCGTGCGTCTATCAGTTCTACCGGTCTCCTTTTATCTATACAGATCTTCTAACGACTACAGAAGACATCTAAGCCTTCCTCTAACTTTAGAAAATCAGTCCATCTTCAATATGCTATAGAGATCCTATATATTTTACATGGACTATAGAAGGCTCCCTGGTCATTTATTGGCTATAGAAGTTCTCAATATAAAATATCCCTTCTAACCTCCAGATTTTTTGTAGATATTGAAAAGGACTTCTAAGAGAGATATATGTCTGCTAATATCATTAAAAAGATCATGAGTGCGTCTATCAATCCTACCGGTCTTCTTTTATCTATACAGCTCTTCTAACGACTACAGAAGACATCTAGGTCTTCCTATAACTTTAGAAAATCGGTCCGTCTTCTATAAGATATAGAGGATCTATATGTTTTACATGGACTATTGAAGACTTCTTGACCTTTTATTAGCTATAGAAGGTCTCAATATAAAAGACCCCTGCTAACCTCCAGATCTTATGTAGATATTAAAAGAGTCTCCTAGGAAAGATAAATGTCTGCTAATGTCATTAAAAAGTTCAAGCGTGCGGTCTCCTTTTATTTATGCAGCTCTTTAACGACTACAGAAGACGTCTAGGCCTTCCTCTAACTTTTGAAAATCAGTCCATCTTCAATATGCTATAGGTTCTCTATACATAGAAGGCCTCCTCATTATAAAAAATACTCTCCAGATCTTATGTAGATGTTAATATCGTCCTCTAGGAGAGATAGATGTCTGCTAATGCCATTAATAGATCAAGATCAATATTGTCTCTATCAGTTCTACCTGTCTCCTTTTATATATACAAGGCCTATTGTCCATGAAATAACTTCAAGGGTTCAATTTTCTTGTAGAACATCTAGAGGCCATTGTTTATTCATTTTTTTTTTTTTTTTTGGATTCATATTTGTTGTATAACATTTAGAACATTTTCGTTTCCCTTAACTTTGGTTCATATTCGGTAGTCTCATGTATCCCAATGAATTTTAAATTGTCCATAGAATGCCAGGACGCTCTTGCTTTTTTTCATATCATACATCTTATCCTAAGCGGAATGAAAGATCTATAAATTATACAATTCCAATTGGAGAACCCCACAGTCTAGAGAGCCTTCAAGGGTTCCTCAAAACAGTATTGACATGGTATTGCATATCATATTATTAGAAACTGTTTTCTTTTAATATTTTTGTAATTATTTTTTGTTAATTTAAATTTCCACTGTAAAAGAAAAAATATATGTTTTTTTTATTTTCATAAATATGATATAGAACTTCGTGTTATATAATTATTTAATAATTATAATTATTTAATATAATTATATATTATATAATTTATATATTATATAATTATATATTTATATTATATAATTATATATTATATTATATAATAATATAACTATTTAATATTTAATTTAATTTATTTATTTAATTTTATAAATTAATTTCTTTCAATTTTTTGTTATTAGTATTTATTTTTATATGTTTAATAATAGTTCGGCTGAAGGTCAATAAAACAATTTTATTTAGTTATCTCCTTTTTTCTCTTTATTATATCCAATATTTCGATTGTCATCGACAATCATCTTCAGGGATCTGTTACAAATAACACAAATTATTACAAATTAATTAGTGTTATTTGTAACAGATTCCTGAAGATTATCGGACAATCGAAATATTGGATATAATAAAGAGAAAAAAGGAGATAACTAAATAAAATTGTTTTATTGACCTTCAGCCGAACTATTATCAAACATATTAAAATCTACCAGGTCAACAATAAATAACAACTTTATTTTTATTTTAATATTTTACTGTTTATAAAAAGACAATGAATTATTTTTATGAAAACAATGGGCAAATTAAGAATATATATTTAAGTGAATATAAGATTTGTAAATTACAAGCCTACTTAATACCGGATATACCGTACAAAAATTCTCATCCCTCGCACTGTGGTAAATATTTATATTTTCAAGCCAACCAATTAAAAGTAAGGATATTTTTGAAAAATACCATATTTTTCAAAATCTTGTTTTAATGCCGTGCTTTCATTTGAAGATGTAGAAATTTTGTATTTTTGGCTACAACGGTGGAAGATGAGTATTTTTGTATGGTACGTCGGAAATTATGTAGGCATAAGGTTGTAGCCACCATGTAAACCAATCAAATTGTCCCGAGGCTGGATTCTTGTTTTATGAATCTTATAATTGAGAGAAGTGAAAAGTGTTGCAAAGAAAGTACTTTTCATTTCATATTTTCATAGAACAAAAGTTCAGTCCGTGCTCTGCTCGGATTTGAAAAAAAATTATAATTTTTTCATAAAATCTCCATTTGAAGTATGTATTAAAAATATATAAAAACTCGCCACGATTCTCTTTACATCACACCACCACACTCCCAAAAAATGGCAATGAAAAGTATTAATCTAAAATCAAATAATAGTCTAATCGTCGTGTCCATATTTTCCCTAAATATGTATTCATACCTATCATTTTTAAATGTTTATGATGTACAAAAATAATAACTAAATTCCTTGATGTGTACTAAGTAAATATATAAGTATTTATTATAAAATAATAATTTATTATATGCCATAAATAATAATTTATGTTAGTGATAAGACACATTTAAATTAATACTAGTAACATTAATACTTAAATTAATATAAGTAACATAAATGTATACTCTTCCCTAGGCTTAAGACACTTTTGAAGTATTTTTTTTTTTTAATTTATTTATTTTCATTTTTCAACTCAAAATCCAAAAACAAAACTGTACTAATTCTACAAAAGTGGGAGGACAGATTCCAGAGAAATAATTTCCATATTATCTGGACATATTCCAATGTATCCTTTGAAATTCCGTGAATACATTTAAATGCCCTTTTAATTTGCCTCTTTCAGGGAGGATTTTTTTTCATTTTAGTAATTTTGAAATGTTATTTTTTTAATTTCTATTTCAAAAACGACAATTCTTTAAAAGTCCTGAAGGATTTCCTTTCCTTTGAAGACTATAAATTACTAATTTGGGTATTTTGATTTAAAAACAAATCGAAATGTGTATGGCCTATTGGTCGTCTATTATCCCTAAAATAACTTCAAGAGTTGAATTTTCTTGTAGAACATCTAGAGGCCATTGTTTATTCTTTTTTTTTTTTTTTTTTTTGGTTTCATATTTGTTGTATAACATCTAGAACATTTTCGTTTTCCTTAACTTTGGTTCATATTCGGAAGTCTCATGTATCCCAATTAATATTAAATTGTCCATAGAATGCCAAGACGTCCTTGCTTTTTTCATATCATATATCTTATCCTAAGAAGAATGGAAGATCTCTAAATTATACTATTCCAATTGGAGAACCCCGCAGTTTAGAGAGCCTTCAGGGGTTCCTCAAAACTGTATTGACATGGTATTGCACATCATATTATTCAAATTTAGCTAAAATATCTGAAACTCCATGGTATTCTATCTCAGAAATTATTTGAAGACTTTTTGAAGTATTTTTTAATTTATTCATTTAATTTTATTTAATTTATTTATTTCCATTTCTCAACTCAACATCCAAAAAGAAAACTTTTTACTAATTCCATACAAGTGTGTTTAAATGTCCTTGGAAGACCTCGGGGCTTCCTAACAGTTATAGAAGACTATTGTGTTTTCTAACAACTATATGTCAAATAGAAGATCTGACTCTCTGACTCTCTCTTCAAATCTTCTATTTGGCATATAAGGTCTTTAGGTTTTCTATTTGCCGAGAGACGACCTCTTGGTCTCCTAAGGCATATAGAATACCTCTAGGCTTTCTAATTGTCTTAGAACGCCTCTAGATTTCATATTGGCTATAAAATGGCCGCTGGATCTTCTAAGACCTAAAAGGGCCAGAAAATTTTCTAAGGGCTATAGTCTAAGTCTTCTAATGAATGTAGAAGACGCCATAATTTTTTAAAGCTATTGAAGATCTTTTATTTACTGGAGGTAAACTTCTAGTCTTCTAATGGATGTAGGAGACGCCATATTTTTTTTTTAAAGCTATGGAAGATCTTTTATTGACTGGATGTAAACTTTAGGTCTTCCAAAGACTTTAAAAGTCTTATTGTTCCTCTATTGACCATAGAAGGCTCGTCTTCGATGTGCTACAAATTTTGACTCCATATCTTTGAAACATGTGGGTTAACAGAATTGTGATCTTTCAAATAAATATTCGTTAGACCCATATACATAAATTTTGGAACATTCCAATATTGTAAAATTTTTTTTCATATTATTTATTCCACACTTCTAGGTCTTTTAAAGGATATAGAAGATCTTCAGGTTATCCAACATCTATAGGAGAACTATTGGTCTTTTAAAGGCTATAAAAAGTTCCATTGCTCTTTTAGAAGCCTTTTATGTCTTTTTTTTGCCAGAGAAGACTTTAGTCTTCTAGTGGTAAAAAAAGCCTCTAAGCCTGCTTGTTGTTATGGAAGACGTATAGCCCTTGAATTTGCTATAAAAAACTTCTTGTTTCTCTATTTCAAATAGTAGCCCTCTCCGTAAGACTTTGCTATTGAGGTCCTATAGTTATTCTATGGGCCATTGACCCATACGTTCAAGAAAAATGATTAGCTTTGTTTCAAAGTCGATTAGGTTGAATGCAAACAACTGTTGTGACACCCTCTGATGGGGAATGTAAAATAACCCTTCTTTCTACTTGTACATAATTTAAAGCCAGTTTCCATGTGTCGATAGGAAAATGAATTCGAAAAAAAAAACACCATTTCAAATTAGTTTTCAATTTTTTTCGTTTCTTTTTTCTGCGAAAAGCTTAAAAAACATATTTGAAATGAGGTTTTTCATTTTCATATCGACCCTTATGATCTGTTTTTTGTATGACGATACGAAAGTGAATGCGAATAAATTTTTCATAAATTTTATGTTTTAAATTGAAATCCAATATTTGAAAGGCACATATTGAATCACATTCGCCATAGAAAAACATGACCTTAGTCTACGGAAAATCAAATGAAGATCAGTATTCAAAAGTATTATTTCCTCGCATAGAGAGGTGAAGATAAAGTTTTCCACAATTAAACATTTCGAAATGAATTGAAAGTTTTTATTAATATTATTATTTTTTATATTTATATTTTATTATTATTTTCTTTTGCCTCTTCCCTACCAACCATATATCTGCTTAGCTAAGAAAACTTGCCAAAACCAAAATAATAATTAACTAACAAATAAAACAATCTATCATTGTGCAATGTATAAACATTTAAGATGGATCTTCCTACTAAAATTATGATCTCAATACATAATAATAATAACAATAAAAAATACGACAAAAATTATGTTTTAATAATGTTGATGTAAATACATACACATTAATGTAATAGTGTAGGAGAGATGTGCTTAAAAATAAAAAAAACAAAACAAAAATTAGACTCTCCATAAAAATACAATTTAACCTTAAAGCTAATATTTTAGAAATTTAATAAAGCAAAATATTTATAAAAAAACAATGAAAAGAAATTAATAAATAAATCCATAAATGTGTGAAATACTTTCAACAAAATAAAAACAAACGTGTAAACGTGTACTTTCTTTAAATAATTAATTTATAAAAATTACATTTGTAAATTACAAAATAAAGGGAATCAAAAGCATTTACCAGATTTGTTAATAGAATGAAATAGAAATTAATAAAAAGTTATATGAAGTGATATATAATAAATAAATTCATAATTAATGACAATTTTTTTAACAAATCGGGCTTTTTTGATTCCCTTTGCTTTGGAGTTTTACCCAAAATGGACTGCCAAGTCCCTTCCACAATTTGGAACAAAAAGTCTTAATTTGGAATCCTTAAAAAATTGCCTTATATGCGTTTCATACAAAATGTAATTGACCATTCACAATAAATTTACAAAATATCTACCAAGGTTAAACCTGATAATTGATCAATCACAATAAATGTCATATATGTTTTCTATACTCCAAGTTATTGTGATTATAGTCAATTATCTGGGTTAGTCCGGGTAAAGATTTTGTATGTAATCGAATTTTTTAGAAAAAATTAAAAATCCAAGTCTTTACTATTGTCTTTTTTATGGAACATTACCATTGGCTTGGTTTTGCTGGTAGTGCTGAGCGCAAAATTTGTCTTTGGTAAAATTTGACCTCAATTTTATACCCATTTCATGTAAAAGAAAACTTTCACTAATCTAGGTTTCTTTCTAGGTTGTTCGTTGAACAAGATCGCATAACTCATTGTCCATTTTGTCTAAGGATATTCCAGAAGAGATTATCGCACCTGGCTCGGCACATTAACCACTATACAAATAAATAACATCAAATTTCCGATGTGGATGTGGAAAACAAATAAATTCTCAATGTAAATATACTTACCGATAAAGTCTATATAGTATTGTTATATGTATATATTCATATAAAAAGAAATATTTATTGTTCTTTTTAATTAAAAAAAAACAAGGTTTGGTTTATTTTTAAGATTTATTGTCGTTGCAAAATGTGTTCGTATGCAAAATATCTTCAAACATTCTAATGTAATATGTATGTAATATTCAAAACTATAATTTCTATTTATAGAATCAAAACCCAAAAGTATTATATTTGGTGAAATTGTATATGGAGGGAGCCCTTTTAGAAGGAAACCAAAATACTCTTTAGTAGAGAAAGGGATTACTGAAATATATTTTTTTAGAAAATGGGTTTTAATAAACACCCTCTTTCAGAGTAAGGGTGCGGGTACAATTAAGACTTTTTAACTGGCATAAGCCATCGGCTGGCTTCTTCGTAAAAGATCAAAGGAGCGTAGGTTGAACAATGAGCATAGATTATGGACCGATATTTTACTTTTATTTTACGAAAAAGTGAATATATCTCCAACTTAATTGTTCTAAAAAGCAAGTGTTTTTAGGAATAACTTCCAATAAAGGAGTCTTAAAAACACTATTTCTTTTTAAAAACCTCCTTTAAGGTACTCTTTCTTTAAGGTTCCTTTATGTCACGAAGATTCTTTAAAATCACCCGTTTGTAAAAAGGGAACTGTGAGTAAAAAGGCCAAATATAAAAGCCACTTTTTCACAAAAAAAAAATCCTAAAAACAGAGAATGGCTCCTGAAACCTTATCTGAAAGAAATGAGATTAATAGAGAAAAAAAAAAAAAGAAAGAAAAAAATCGTCCCAAATTTCGAAGAAAATTGTTCTCAAGAAAAAGTCCCCGAAGTCAGTCTTTCTTAAAGAAAGCACCAATTCCGAAAGAAAAAGTCCGAATATGAATTTTTCGTAAAAAGTAAATAGGATCAATTAAGGAAATGATGCTTAGAAACAATCCTTCTGACAGATAGAGTCTTAAAAATAATTATTTTTAAATAAATGTCCTTTAAGGCATAGTTTCTGAAAGAGAAGGTTCCCAAATTAACCTTTTTGTTGAGAAAAAGGTCCCCATATATAGTAGAGATTAATTTTTTTTTTTATTGAAAGTCTACCTAAAATCCATTCTTGGAGTTAGAGTCCCACTTTCTTAGAGAAATTTTCCTTGAAAGCACCACTTCTAAAATTATAGGTCTTAATAAACGTTTATTTCATAAGGACCTTTCGAAGAACGGTTTTTGAATATACTCTTTTTAGATAAAGTCCTTCAAACCATACTTTCTAAGGGAATATCCTTATAAGCTCCCTGTTTTGAGAATGAGAGCTTAAAGATTTTTTTTTTCAAGAAAGTACCCTTGAGTGTCCTTTTTGGCAAGCGAAGGTTTTAATGACCGTTTATTTTATAAGAAACTTTTTTAAAAGAAAACATCTGGAATATTTAATTTTTACATAAAGTCCTTCAAATCATGCCTTCTAGGAGAATGTCAATAAAAGCTCCGTATTTAGAGAATGATACACGTTTTTTCAAGAAAGGGTCCTCAATGTCCTTTCTGACAAGCATTCCTTCAAAGTATTCTCCCGCAAATTAAGAATCTATCAATGCTAATCCGATAAAGTACAGTATCCTTAGAATCTCGCTCTTCCCTTTGTACAGAATTTGTGAAATGAAAGACCCTATAACAAATACGATGCTTCTAAGAACCATTTTTGTAAAAAAAAACCGTCCTTAAAGTATTTTTTTAAGAGCACGAGGTCCTTTAAAGCTTCCTTTCCAAAAGAAGAGGTCCTTGAATCTTTACTAATAATAGAAAATATTCGTATAAACTTGTTTTTTTTTTTTTATCAAAAGAGCCCCTAGAATCAATTTTTTGTTCTTAGAGAACGTATCGTTAGAAGCATCTTTTTCAATAGAAACGTTCATAGATCCCTGACTTTTAGAAAGAGTGCTATTAAGGACCCTTTATACCGAGAACAATGATTCTAAGTATCATATCTCCAAAAAAAACTCTTAATGAAAAGAATGCTTGTAAAAATCCATTTTTCCGGAAATGATATTTTCCAAGAATCTTTTAGCGGAAAAGGATATTGAAGAGGGTTTTATTTTGAAAATAGAATTTGCTTTTCATGAACCTTTCTCTTAAATTGATTATAAAAAGCGTTCTTTCTTAGACAAAAATTCTTAAAATACAGGGTCTTGATTACCCTTTCATAGAGAAAAGTACTCTTTACTCCCTTTTTTAAAAAAAAGTCCTTTAAGAAACCTTCTTTTTTAATTAAACGGATCATAAAGCCACTTTTCCCGTTAAAACATCTTTTTAAATAGAAAGAATCCTTAGAACCGCGTCCTTCTTATAGAAAGAGTCCCCAGAAGCACCCTTTCCCACAAAAAAGTCATTAGAAGCACCCTTTTCAATAAAAGGAGTGCTATTAAGGACCCCTTTTCTAAGAATCGTTTCTCTAAACAGGAACATTTTTCAAATGTGCTTTGAAAGAACATTTTTATTAAAAAATGGTTTTCGAGGACCTTCTCTTTAAATTAACCTATTTTTATACCCTCAGCCATATGCCTCATAACGGTTTTAGACCCCAGGTATCTTTGGACCAAATCCGTTTCAGAACATTTGGAGTCGATCTAGCGATGTCCGTCCGTCCGTCCGTCTGTCTGTCAGGCTGGTTGCTAACGATAACTCTCGAAGGGAGTATTCGATTTGATCCAAACTTGGTACATGGTAATATTATTCTCAAACTTAGATCGAATTCGGAGATGGGCAATATCGGTCCACTCCTACCCCACAAAAGGTCAACATTTTCACAGAAAGAGAAGGGATAATCCAATTTTGCTCCAACTTTGAAAATACTAGTATTTGAGTCACTTCTAGGTTTGGTGCGAAAATAGACAATATCGGTACACTCCATCAAGTACCTTCCTCACAAAGGGTGAAAATTTTGAATAATTATAACTCTTATAAAATGTGATGCAATTGTCCGATTGTCTTCAAATTATACACATAACAATATTTTTATTAACCCAAGGTCGGGTGTGAAGATGGATTATATATGGGCCCACTCCTTCTGGTACCTCTCCCACAAAGGGTCAACATTTTGAATACCCAAAACGATTATGAAATCCGAAAAAAGCATCCGGTTCTCTTCATATTTCACACATCATATTATTTGTACTAACATAAGATCTACTCTGGATATGCGATGTATCGGTCCAGTACCTCCCCGAAAAGGGGGTAAAAATTGTGAGTAACCATGATGCTCATAAAACGCGAAATTAACATCCGATTCCATTCAGACTTGGTACAACACAATATTTCCATCAACACAATATCTGTTATAAATATGGCGCAGATCAGACCATTTCTTCTGGTACCTCCACCACATAGGCTTCAAGATTTTTGAAAAAAAAAAAAAAAAACACACTCAAAGAATGTAATTCAAATTTCCCACTTACAAATATTTTTCCTAAAACAAGATCTGTCGTGAAGATGATATGTATCTGTCAACCCCTTCTGGTACCTCACCCACAAAGAGTCACAATTTTCAATTCTTGTATATCTCATTACTTGCGCAACAAGTCGGCGATTCTTTACAACGAAATATTTCTTTCAACCAGAAACCTGGGATGAATATGGAATTTATGATTTCGCATAAAATTGAACATAAATGTTCGATTTTCTTGGCTCACACCAATATTTTTATACCCTACACCACATAGTGGTAAGGGTATTATGTCTTTGTGCATTTGTTTGTAACATGGAGAAGGAAACGAGATAGACCCATAGTTACTTTTGAGAACCTTCATAGAATCACTTTCTGAGTCGATTTATGCATGTCAGTCCGTCTGTCCGTCCGTCCGTCCGTCCGTCCATGTATTCTTGTGAACAAAATGCAGGTCGCATTTATTATCCGATTGAGATGAAATTTTCCAAACAATATTTTTTTGGCCCAAGGACGAACCCTATTGAAATTGGTGAGAATCGGATCAAATTTAGATATAGCTCCCATATATATCTTCATCCGATTTCGGGTTAAATGTGCACCAAATGCCCACTATCAGTCCAAATTACCTGAATTTTGGCACACCCAACCGAGTTCGGCCTAGAAGCAAGTAAATCAAATTTGGAGAAAATCGGTTCAGATATAGCTATAGCTCCCATATATATCTTTCATCCGATTTGATCTTGTAAGTCCCTCACATTCCTACTATGCACTCCACAACCGTGATATTTGGTACCAGGTATTAGATGGAGCACAGAAATAGCTGTTTTAAATTTTATCGAAATCGGTTCAGATTTGGATATAGCTCCCATATATATCTTCATCCGATTTCGGGTTAATTGTGCACCAAATGGCCGATATAAGTCCAAATGGACTGAATTTTAGTACATCGGACCAAATTCAGCCTAGAAGCCAGTATATCAAATTTAGTGAAAATCGGTTCAGATATAGATATAGCAACCATATATATGTTTCATCCGATTTAGTGTTTTAGTCCCATACATTCGTAATATTCACTCCACAGCCGTGATATTTGGTACCAGGTATTAGATGGAGCACAGGAATAGCTGTTTTAAATTTTATCGAAATCGGTTCAGATTTGGATATAGCTCCCATATATATCTTCATCCGATTTCGGGTTAAATGTGCACTAAATGGTCAATATCAGCCCAAATCACCTGAATTTTCGTACATAAGACCGAATTCAGTCTAGAAGCTAATACGTACAATTTGGAGAAACCCGGTTCAGAGATAGCTATAGTTCGTAAAATGCACGATAGAATTAGATAGATTTTGATTTTGTACCAAATATCTCATAGAACTCTGAAATGCCCTGTATAAACCTTTTTACGAGAGCTCTACTAAATATGCATAGTGGTGTAGGGTATCATATAGTCGGCCCCGCCCGACTTTTGAGCTTTCCTTACTGGTTTTATCTTTATTAGATGAAGAAAAGGTCTTTAGGATAGTCCTTCCTATAGAAAGTGTCAC